CTAAAATCTCAGTTATTCTATATTTTGGCGACAATCTGCCGCAGATATGTAGGCAATATGAATTGTTGCAAGAACACGGTTTTACAATAATCAACCGTTGCATTTATATTTGTATTTATATATTTATTATTTTCCTTTATATTTATATTATATATTTATATATTTATATATATAAACAGTCAACTTCTATTTCTTCAATCTGCAATTCCTGCAATTTATTATATCGTAATCATGACGAATACACAGCGCCGTTATGCGGGCTTACTGTGATAATTTATGGAGATGATTTTTGGATAAACAGATAATACCGTATATATGATAAACGCTAAATCTGTTCCCAATTGACCCACTGCGAGAGGCCATATGCAATGTAGATGTAGATCACTTATATAATGTCTATATTCAGATAGCTAAATTTACATAAGTAGAACCCTAATTCATATTCAGTAACTGTTCCCGTACTGCGCGCAACATAGACCGTGTAATTATAAATTTTATTTTCAAATGCAATAGGCCTACAAGGATGCACTTGGAGTGCATCCTTACACGTGGCGACGATTTTAAAAAGACGATATTAAGGTTTCTTAGTGTAATAAAGTCGTATCAGCGAGACATGGAAATCGTAATGTTATTTTTAGATGTAACGTTTCTTATAAGTAACATGCAAACTCTAATCGTACAGAAGGCGCAAGTATACATAAAGATGACGGTGTTGTTGTTCTATAGGGTGTGCACTTGTTTAACATGGTAACTAATCCAGTAGATCGGTCGGCTACCTTTTGTAAAGCAACGCAAAACATTGAAATCGACCAAAATGTCTGTGAAATACTATCTCCCCCCCCCCCTTACTACCACCATTACCACCCACCACCACCACCCGGACAACAACAACAACAACAACAACAACAACAACAACAATGTCATACATCTTCCCCTGACGTCATCACGTACGGGATGTCACACAAACTCACGGGAAAATATTCTTTCACGATATCATATCTGATTACATATTTGCTACACCTACGTCAAGCACAATATCCCACTTACATGGAAATTGTGTTTGCTACAGCGACTACTACTTTAAGTATAGAACATATTGTGACGATAAGGTAGCTAATCCTCCAAGTTTTATTACTCTACACTATTAAACGAACGTCCACAAAATAGCATCAGATTTAATAGATCAACATTCAGCCGGAAATACTGCTCTCGCCGAATACGACAACACTACGGCTATGATGCGATGTAAAAAGGATTTGGATTATTTTAAAACAACTTTTGCACGACAGTATCGGATGTTGCACGCATACGGCACTAAATCATATCGAAATTATTCTTCTAAAAACCGCCACGGCTCTCCCCGGCCACGTCCCAACATAGATTTCTGCCTGAATGAGTGCAGGGGAGGGATGAAAATGACCGCCAGGGAAGTCGTGCGATATTTCGGCTGAAGCCAACCAACCGACCGCTCTAGGACGAATGTCCTGGTCGTCGACCCACAGCTGACCCCCGGCAGGCATCGGAAACGTCGATAAAATTATTTAAAAACACATCGCGGGTGACGGTAGGCATCTCTCATCATGCCGCAACATTGGATAAGCTGACTAACCGGCTGACGGTCTGGTCTGGACTATAAACGATGAGCCGCTAAATTACGCACGAGCGCCCTCGCTAGAGATCAAACTAGTACAGGTAATATTATGTACAGAAAAAAAAAACATAATAAAACAAACACACACGCACAACACAAACACACGCACAACACAACACACGCACGCACGCACGCACGCACGCACGCACGAACGCACGCACGCACGCACGCACCGATCGTCGGACAAGACGTGCTCAGAGCAGCCGGAACTCACGAACCCACAACCGGCTATACGTGATGTCTAGAAGTAATACAATAACCTAACACAGAATAGTTCCTGCTAAGTACGAACGAACTCGACTCTCTCACCCCCCACCCCCCACAACCCACACCCCACACCCACCCAGTTGTCTGCCAACCAACCCTGCCTGATCCCTAGCACCAAACCCCTCCAATTTTCTTGCTACGGTTCTTGCTCGTTCCGCCAACCCTTCCTGTTCTCTACCATCAGTCACTCCTTATCACTTCCACCAACACTTCTGAGCCACCAACCCACTCCTTTCTAAGAATATCGCCCGCAATTTCAAGTACAAGTAAATCCTAGACAATTGTGATGAGCCCCTCGCGAAACCCACTGGCTATAGTCTGCTCTGCTGCTGCTCTGTTCCCTGAACAATTACTGCACATGGATTCACACTCGCCACTGGCAAAGGCTATGCCGCAAATCTTGTTGAGAACTCGAAACCAGTTGTGTGCAATTGACTGAAGAGATAATCAGCACTTATTAGGATTATAGGATTCGGACGCGAGGATTCTAATCTTGCATCTCCTCCTAGCTCGGTCTCCTTTCTTTCCATTCTTCCACTCTCAACTTAGCAGTGTTCTGACGACTAAGCCCTGACGGGCACACACTGGGATACATTTCAGCGAGTGATAAAGGGTTGATGGAAATTTAACAGTTGACAAGGAGTTAGTGAGGGTTGTGAAACTAAAGGTGAAGAGGTGACAGAGATTTGCTAAAAGCCTCAACAAGAGGTTGATAAGCCATTGATAACGGGGTATACAATAATTTAGAAGGCCCCTGTATCTACACCAGGCGTTGACAATGATTTAGTAAGGGATTGAAAAGTCAAACATGAAGCGTTTACAAATACTTGCAATAGATTCGACAATAGAATTGCCATGGAATTGACAAGATAATAATGAAGTATAAAGGTTAATAGAGATTTATCAACAGGTGCCAGTATTTTTGCAAATATTTCTTATGTTGCTCGCTATGCGTAGCTTATACATTCACGAATTATGAAAGACTGCACCGTGGCATGTGGTAACTGGATAAAATCAGCTGTGGAGTGATTGTGTGCGTGTCGTGAACAAAAAACAGCAAGGGGATTAGGGACTTTGTTATCGGCCATTTTGCAGCTGGCATTTTTTTGTCAGATTAGTAGGAGGAAAGACAGAAAGACGCTAATGAGCCCAATTATCATTAGCTCGCAAATGGTCGCCATTTACCGTTATCCCACCCCTTCACGCCCGGAGCTGAATGACGCGCAGCACCATCAGCGAATGTTTCAGCTTGGTCCAGTGCAGCATCAGCCGGCAATTCATCACACACAACCGCCGACGCGCGGTGACGCGCCGACATGACGCGTTGTCCTCGATCGTGCGGGCACCCTCAGGTGGCCACGCTCGGCTCGGCGGGGTGAGCCTCGGCGTCGAGGTCAGCGATCAGCTTGTAGTAGCGCGCGACGGTCGTGTCGATCGTCTGCGTCGAGTATTTGCACTTGTCCGATGCGCACGTGCACGTGAAGTGCTTGTATTTGATGATCCAGAACTTGTCACCGTAGTCGAACCTGTAGAGGACAGAGCGAGAGAGCGTGTGAAAAGAGCGAAATCAAACAACGTGCACGAGATGCTCGTGATGCACAGGCTGTTGTCACATTATTGACCGCACACACGCGCGTCTTTCTCTCTCTCTATGCCGTCTATGGGACGCCGTCTAAGCCGTCATAATTATTGCGATTAGATTAATAGTTGTAGTGGATATTGTCGCCAACATCTCGGGAGAGAGAGGGAGAGAGAGAGAGATGTTGGCGATATTATCCAATCGATTAATCTAATCTTAATGATGATCACCGCTTACCACCACCACTCCCTGATCACCCAGCAGGTATAGAGCTAATGCAGCACACCCATCTTCAGAGAAACTATTAATAATGTAAACGCACCATACTGCCTTGACAACTAGTTGAATTCCGTACCTTGTTGAGTCCATGATGTACTGCATTTATTATTTCCACAAACTGCAGACACTTTCATCTTCGCCGTTTGACTATCTACGACCATTTTTGTGAAATAAAACAACGTGAAAATCTAATTCCATATATCTGGTTTATTACAACAGCAAACCACGTACTCATGCGCGAATAAATTCAATGAAGGGAGGCGGGTTCCCTCCCAATCTATTGACGAAATTCTCCCAGAAGATAATAGCGAAAATATCCAAGCAATTTTGGTAAAGTATAAAGCAAGATAATACGATTGAATTTTGTGTTTTACTTTGCGCTTTTATCTGGCGCATTTAGAATTCTAGAACTATGGCAACTCTAGAGCTATGAACCATGGCCTATTAGAGATATTTCTAGCTTCATCTAAGGAAAGGAATACGTGGTCAAGGTAAAAATGTCAACATGACGTCAACGTTCCGGTATCTGGATAGTTTGATACATATTCGGGTCTGCATGTTTGTGTGTGTGCGTGTGTATGCGTAAAAGTGCACGAGTCGGTGTGTGCGTGCGTGCGTGCGTGCGTGCGTGCTTGTTTATCTGCCCGCCTGGATAAGCGTTTAAGTGCGTTTTAGGTGCACGTGCGTGTGCTTGTGCGTGTGCATATGTGCTTGCGCACATACGCACGTAAATATGGATGCACATTATCTACCACACTTAGGACACTCGGATTCCTCGCCTAATTCACTTGGACGCTGCGCGGAGTGATATTAACGGATCTATTTAGGTGGCGTAAATGAACCACTCAGTCAGCACAGTGACAGTAGCGATTCGTTACGCCGAGTAAGTGCTTTGTCGCAAACTATTTTCGCGCATGGAACACAGATGCGCACGATTTCTATCAGCCACGTATTTATAGGTTATTGCACGCAAGCTACTTACGACGGATTTTATTCACGAGTGATGCGAGTGGTTATATTTTCCACAATTGCTCCAGCGAAATCTATATTCACAAGCAGCCATGTAATAACACAATTATTGTAGAGATCCAGTAGGGCTGTTCTCCGTCTAATTATAGAGAAAGGAGCATTACTAACCGCGCTATCTATCTATCTATCTATCTATCTATCTATCTATCTGTCTGTCTGTCTGTCTGTTTGTCTGCCTGTGTCTGTCTGCCTATGTATCTATCTATCTTTTTTTGTTTGTTCTTTCTTTCTTTCTATCTATTTATTTATCTATCTTTCTATCTATCTACCTATCTATTTATCTATCTATCTATCTATCTATCTATCTATCTATCTATCTATCTATCTATCTATCTATCTATCTATCTATCTATCTATCTATCTATCTGTCTGTCTATCTTTCTATCTATCTATCCATCTATCTATGTATCTAACTATCTATCCATCTATCTCTCCATCTATCTATCTCTGTCTACCTACTTACCTACCTACCTACTTACCTACCTACCTACCTGCCTGCCTGCCTGCCTACCTACCGACCGACCGACCGACCGACCGACCGACCGACCGACCGACCGACCGACCGACCGACCGACCGACCGACCGACCGACCGACCGACCGACCGACCGACCGACCGACCGACCGACCGACCGACCGACCGACGACCGACCGACCGA